TTTAAAAGCGATTCGTTGCAAAAGTGCATTTATAATTTTATAAACAGTTCATTCATATAAATGGGCATTTTAATAATGCATATAAAAGGAATATATAAGTACGTCTAGGAAAGGTAACAGATATAAATAAGTTTGAACGTGTTTTATACACATTTACTGGTCATATTTTTGGCGATTGTTACTGCATCGCTATCGACTTTATAGTCTTTGATATTTATATGTTATCCATATTGGCATCTGTGCTTACGAATATAACAACCACCTTATGTGCAGGTCTGCCCAGAGATGGGTGTGCAACTTCCTGTTTGCACCTGGTTCAGCTCTCCAGGGGCCCTCAAAATTGTATAATCATTGTACAATCATAGAATTAGCTATTGTTTAATCAACCATTAAGTTTTTTTTATTTTTATAGTTCTACCAATGGAATACACTATCGTATTGATCCTAATGCAAACACACTTAAAATTACACCCTCTTACAAAGAAATACATTGCAAATCTCAAATTTTGGAAAATGTGTTATCACATTAAAGTAGAACTAAATTACATGAACAAAATTACTATGGTATTTTTGTTTTAAGTTTAATTTTTTTTGGTTGAGGATTATGAGGCACCCAACAAGATTTTTTCTCTGGGCCTGTAAAATCCCCAGGCATACAGCCATACTTGTGTGCCAAAACCTACCTTGTTGTCTTTGTACAACGTCCTCATGAAACTGTAAATAATTACACAATCCTGCTTTGTCAGGATGTCTGTGCTTTCTAGCAACAAGCCTCATCTCTGCCTCAACAACATCTGGTGGGCCAGGAAAACTTCGGTAAAACTAAAACATCCAAAAATTCTTGTTAAAAATAAGTTTTAAGCCACAGTATTAGTTTTTTAAAGCTAGGTTACTGTCTGGTTTAAATTATTATAAATGGAAAACAGCAAAAAGCTAACTTTCTCATTTGCTTAGCTACACCAGTGTTTATTTGTAATTTTTTAAAAATAATCTTTTTATATCTTTACAGAAAATATTTATGGCAAAACGTACTAGGTAATCAACTTTATGAACAAGCAATTGCAAAAGTTGAGGTAAATTAAGATTACTATTTTTTTAAACAACATGCAGCCTCTCTGCAGTTTAAAAAATGAAAGAGGGCAAGAAAACACACCTGACTCTCAGTGACAAGACCATTGTTGTGCTTGTCAAAATCAGCATAGGATGATTTGACAATGATGCCATGATATTTATAAAAAGCTGCACATCTTGATAGGATGTGGTCATATTTTGATAGCGAGGCTGGACTTAGAGGTCTTCTGTTCATTGGATCACTGGATTTTTTAAAAAACACATTAAATTTAGTTAGACTACAGTACCTCCTTCTGGTCTCATTTAAATCATATGGGGCTGCCTAAGTGCACTCAGCCAGATCTTGTAAAAAGAGTATCAGAACTGGTCACACAGATAACTGTAACCAATGTGAACCAATGGATCACTTGCATAACAGACCAACTTTTAATTTAGGCGACAAGAAAGGAAAAATCCGAAAAGGGCATACTAAACCTAGTAAAATTACCAAGTTTGGCTGCAAATGATTGTAAAGTACCTGAAGATATAGCCGAGTGAAGTTGGCAAATTTTGTATACCTTTTCTATTATTGCTGTAAGAGTGTAACTAAATATAGTTACACACTTTTGCCCATAATACAAAAGTATACAAAAATTGCCTACTTTGCTTGGCTATATTTTTGGTACTGCTTGACATTTTGCAGCCAAACTTGGAAATTATACTAATTTAGGATATGTTCTTTTTAGCTTTAGTGATTTAGTTTTCTTCTTGCTACCTACATCATAAGTTGGTCTATTAGGCAAGTGGCCATTATATGTATCAAAATATTCTTTTCATTTGAGCATTTGATCATTTCTTTCACATCTCATTGCAATATGGGCAATATAAACCAACCTTGCTGCAGAACCAACTCTCTGTGTGTCAGGTGCTTTGTCCATAATATTTGCATCAAATGCTGGAAATATGCAAGAAAATTGGACTGTTGGGAGACTTGTGCGTGCATACACAGGTTGTTGCCTAATTGACTACAATAAGGGTTACAATCAGGGGCCGGTTGTTCGAAAGGCGTTTAGCTTAAACGGTGGATAAGTTCAAAATGGAAAACAAGATTATCCATTTTTTGAACAACTGAGCTGAAATATTTTGATGTAAAAAGTTTAATTTTCAATGGAAGTACAAATTAAACGCATAAGATGCAAGTTCAGTCATTCACAAGATCCATCCTATTTTTAAACTTTGGCTTATCCACCGTTTAAGCTAAACACCTTTCGAACAACCTGCCCCAGAACCTCTTATTGTATGTTACATGTATCGTAGTCAACTTACTTGCATCAATGGCAGCGCAGAAATCCCGATAGCAGACCATTCCTTGCTGTTGTGGATTACTGCCATATTTAGACAACAAAACATTGGTCTCCAGTGGACTCAATTGCACAGAAAATAACTGATCAAGGCATCTCTCAAATTGAGCTTCTATATGGGTGAAATAAGAGAAGCTTTATATTAACAAGGCAACAAAAATTGCGCATCAACTGACAACATCAGGGCAAGTGTTAAACACCCCCCAGTATGGAAAGTTTGTATCATGCAACTGAGATATTTGATGCACAATTTTGATGTCTTCTATATGTTTACTAGTATTTTTTTAAAATCTCGGTTGCGCAGATTGCATTCTTTCCAGTCAGGAACATGTATTATATGGTTACATTTTTATATTAAAGCTTACTTGAAATATATCCTGTCCTTAATCTATCAAAATCTTTAAAAAATTCAGTACATCGAACTTTCTTCGCATTAACTGCATTTCGTATTTTATCTTCAACCTTCTTGATGCTCACAGATGCTTGCTGTTGAATACAAAGCAAATGGTTACCAAGTGCTGGTAGTATTAACAAAGTATTGACTATATATGATTCTTTTGACTATAATGCCCTATTTATTGCTTCTTGGTCCCAGATATTTATGGTACCAGTAAAAGTAATTAAACCATCATGCATGTAAGCATGCTTGATTGACCGCAGGTGGCCATACTTCATCTTATGAGACTATAATGGATCATGAAACTTGATCCATAATTCATAAACTCTGATCACCTCCTAAATACTAGAAACCATGTACACAGAGCTAAACAGCGTTCTCACTTTTAAGGAAATTTCCTTAAACTAAGGAAATTTTGATCTTATTTCACCTTTTTAAGGAATTGTTTGAGGGTTTTTAAGGAATTGTTTGAGTTTTAACTAATATAAAGCCAAAACAATTTTCCCGCCTTTTTAGTAAACTACACTAGGTCTCAGGCTTCATATCTGGGAACCCGGAGATTTAAGGAAATTTTACTCAATCTGAGGAATTTTTGTCCTTAGTCTAAGGATTTCTAAACAATAGGATGTGAGAGCCCTGGAGCTAAACCTAAACACAATGATTGTGGTGTGTTGTGATACTGTATATAAATTCAGAAATCTGTTTGAAGCCCAACTGATATCTTTCTAAAGTTATATTATTTTCACAATATGTGAATGTAAATATTATTAATATTCAAAATCCTAGGCAGGTTTGGCTCTGGATCTAAGGTTTGCCGATTGACTAAACACCAGCCAGTGATGTGTTGTCTCAATCCTTTTCTGACTGAACTTTTTAGCTTGAAAGAGTAGGATTCCTAAGTGCATTTTGCAGGTTATACAATGGTTGCATTGTTGGTTTCAACAAATTTTGCCAATTTGAGAATGGCATTATTACTTGAAACTACGATTTGATGATAAAATTAAACACTGTACAAAAGATAAGTGTGGGTGGAACTGGATGTAAGGATTTGGGCATGTACCAGTCAATGCAAATTAATTCATTCAGTCATGCAGGCACAAGACAAATATACAATGCCCTATGGGCCGGAATGGCATCTTTAGCCCGGGTGAGTGGCTGGAGCTCATAGCACAAAATCATTTCTAGATGGTACTGACCCCATTACTACCAGCACAGTAATAAACCAGGTACAATGAATTGCTATCTCAAAGGGTGGTGCACTAGAGTTGCAGCCACATACGAGAAATTACTTTAGGTTAGTTTAGAATTATGAGTCTTTCGAAGTGCACAATTTCTATTGCACGATCCCTGATTTCTGATTTTCCAATATTCTGATTTCTGACTTAATATAATCACAACATGGTTCGATCTTAATAATAAACACAAGCTAGCTGTGTCTGACTGGTACTGTGTCTAAGGCTTTAATAATCTTTATCAAGTTTAAACTTACATCTGCGTGCACTCTTTCCTCGGTAACCATATTTCTATAAAATACAATAGAGTTACTATAAAATCGTCTGCCAATATTAAATTTAAACCTATATTTTTTCATAAAATTTCAACGAACCCCTGTGAAGAGGCAATGTTTAAATATGAAAATGTTTATAAACTCGTGAATTAAATAATAGTTTTGAATGAAAACACATATGATGAAGCATGCTGAGGACGATTTATGGGAATAATAAGTTAAAACAAACCTAAAAGTCGATTTCTCCAACTAAACGTGCCGTAACATCACGATTTGATTTGTTTTTCTCGTGAACATCGACAAATTGATTACTTTTGTTTCCATGACAACGACTATCTGCCTCCAGGGTACGTCATTGGGACACGTTGCCGTGACGACACTGAGCTATAAATCATGTACTGAGACTGGACATCAAAGTCAGAAATTTCTGGACGCAGAAATTGGAGCAAAATTGCCTACATTTCAGTTTGAAATTTAATTCATACTTTCGATTACATTTTAGTTTAATCTCAAGAGATAATTTAAAATTATTTGGTAGTTAATGAAATCCATTTTTGTAATACTACAATGTTCACAACTGAATACTTTCATTGGCCAATCATATGTCAACTATATCGCAGACAACACTAACTATAGCTCATCTTAAAAGATAACTACCTTTTCATACAACTGAACTAGTCCTGGGGCGCACATTGGGGGAGGGAGGGTGATACCCCCAGAGTTTGTGAAATTAGTGTTATAATTAGCGAACCCGGCGATTCCTGGTGACAGATCTATAGGCTATAGCCGAAATAAATAGCAACCCAAAATAAAGCTTCCAAAGGTTTTAAATTTAAAAAAATCCTGGCGCCTTCAACGAACGCGGGAGACTCCAGACACAGAATACCTATCAGAAGAATAACTCTATACTATTTTTTCGTAAGTGTGATTCGTCATGATTCGTCACTTAGCAAGTGCATTTTTTGAGGCAGTCACCCCCCTGCCAAAATTTAGCAATATGGCGCGCGCGATATTCCCTTGCTAAGTGACGAAAAAAATGCACTTGCTAAGTGACGAATCATGACGAATCACACTTACGAAAAAATTACAGGAGTTCTACTTCTGATAGGTATTCTGTGCTCCAGATATACTTTTTATATGCGCCCCTGATCCAGTTTAAAAAAAGTCATTTGATACTTCATGCAAATAAGGACTTTTAAGGCCGAGTTTTCTTTGTAAGACGCGAAGTTTCGAGAAAACCGCATCCCAATCCATGTATGTGACCTGAATCCATCTTTTGAGAGGCCCTGCTGTTGTATCAAGGGCCGTTCTTCCGTGTAGGACCCTTGTGTTTTGAATTACGGCTATCTGGCCTGGGCTCATATGGTAATCGACGGTGTTTTCTGGTGCATAGAGTATTTTCATGAGTTCATGATAAGCATCGTGGAATTGAAGAAGTTGGTCGACGGTTGTGTACTTGTCAATCTCTGACATCAGCATGTTGCTGACGATGAAATCCGTGATTCGTCCATGTTTGTTTGTTCTAGGAAATCAGAAAAGTAACATTCTCTAAAAATCAGTCATTTTCTTCTACTTATCGGATTTCAATCCATAGATTGTGGGATTAGATGCACATCACTGCTGAATTTGTTCCACGAGCGAGAAAAATTTCTTGAAGAAGAAAACAGTGGATGAAATGCACAAATGCTTCGTGAAATAGAAGAGAGACGACATCATGAAAGACGAATGGTCGAACTTCGCGAGAATACATTTTGAGGACATGTTTTTGACACAAGTGCATGAAAAACCAATAACAGACGAAGCGAAAGGCGAGGGGTTGGTTCCCCCATCGCTCCTGGAATTGTTCATTTATTTAAAAGCTAGCGAGCTTTCTTGGCATCGAGTTACACAAATTGATTCATTGAAACTTACTTGATAATGGGGTTGGAATAACTTATGGAATATTCCCCGGTGACATTTGTTCCTTCGTCAGCAAATTTTACCTCGACGTTTTTTAAAAGATCGAATGCCTCAGGGCAGGTTTGTTTCAGCTGTTTAACGACATTAAAACCATCAACGTAAAGACTTATACCACCCCTCTCCTGGTCTGGTTGATCGATACAATGTAATGCTGCAATCTAGTTTAGAATAATTTGAAATCAGAACAACTTGAGAAGAAAATCGTAAAGGCATCGAGTAATAGTTGTGGTTATTGGTAGTTGTTGGTTGTTGTTGTTGGTTGTTGTTGTTGTTGTTGTTGTTGCTGTTGTCGTTGTCGTTGTTGTTGTTGTTGTTGTTGTTGTTGTTGTTGTTGTTGTTGTTGTTGTTGTTTTTTGTTTGTTGTTGTTGTTGTTGTTGTTGTTGGCTGTTATTGTGGCTTCTTGTTGTTAATTGTTGTCGCTATTAGCCTTTCTCACGATGACGAATATGTCGCCATTTTAAGGGTACTTTTTTCAAAACCCTGAACGTAAGGGCGACTGTCTTTAATCTTAGGATGAATTTATTCTTCAAATGGCCTTTTGATTCTAGAAATATTGCTTCTTATGTTAAATCATAATTTTTAAACGCATTTCAGAAAATTGAAAGTACCCCAAAACGTCATCGTGAGAAAGGAGAATTGGTATTGTTTTGCGGTTGCTGATGTTGCTGTTGCTGTTATTTGCTATTGTTGTTATTTGCTATTGCTTTCGTTGTTATTCTTATATATGTTGCCGTTGTTGTTATTATTGTCGCCTTGTTGCTGTTTTCCGCCGTTGTTGTTGTAGTTGTTGTTGTAGTTACTGTGGTTGTTGCTGTGATACTGGATCAAATCCGATCAATCTTGCCAGTAACGACCCTTACGTCAACCAGTGCAGGATACTTACAGACGGCGGTGAACAAACATTTGATATATCGGTGTGGAAATATAACGCGTTGTTCGTGTAGCTGATATTGGTAGGGTTGTCAACAACTTTGGCATTCCAGCAATCCCTGGAACGATAAAGCGAGTAATAACGAATGATCGGGCCCGTAAAATGGCATCGTTATTTCTTCTTTAGGGAACTTTAAACCCATGTGACTACGGTTCCCACTAAGGTTACGAGATCATTACTTTTAAGTAATGTACCGGAGTTTTTCCTTAATAGACCGGCACTAATAGACAGATAAATAGAGAAAACAGATAAATTCTAAACGAAAATGGCAATCGGAAATGAAATGATATTGTAGGGTACACAATAGCTACTGCTACTCGAAAATAATAATGTGAATAAGAAAAATCAATTCGTTTCTTGAAACAATGCACCTGAGAACGTAACCGTAAAAAGTAGTGAGAATAGGCAAATGTAATGGATCGTAGTTGCTGTACCTATGGCTCTGATGTGCCATAACGGAATTTTTGCCAAAAAATTTTTTCCATTTCAGTTTATTTATGCGTATTAAATATACTACCTAATTATAATTAAAATCTACTTATTTTTGATACAATAAAAGATGACACAATTTTTTAAAATTGTTCAATAATGTTAAGATATTTACTTCAGTTATACGAACATGCATTTTTCTTCGTGTTAACAGTATAACTAATTTAGCCTATAGTTTTTTTTTACTAAATGTTTAATTACCTATAGGGAAAAATTAAAATCAATAACTACAGGCCACAGCTCACATAGGCATCTAAAATGTGAAAGAACTGCAGTTTTGTTTTGTTACAATTTTTTTTTTCGGTCGGGAAACTTCGTGCTACTTCGTGCTTCGTACTATGTAATGGTTTGAGAGGAACCCCTTGCTGTGATGAGTTATTCTTGCCCATTTATGTCAATGACTTCTCATAAAAGTACACGTCACAGTATTCGAATTTCTCCGAACTGTTTAACGACAAATCATTAAACAGAAGCTGAGATGTGCATTTTACCAGGGATATATCAACGAAGCACGCAAAAAGGAATGTTTCGCCTGGGTTGGTTTGCATCGCATTCCTCAACTGCGCGACAATGTGGGCTTTGAGCAACTCTTCGTCACGTGTGTAACACGTGGTGACCAACTGAAGACATTTCAGAAGAGGACACCACTGAGAATGACTCAACGATTCGACGGATCTGGATGACATAGATGCGAAAATGGAATCACTCTCCTTCGACAACCCATTCGAAATATTAGACGCAAGAGCTTCTAATGGTTCCCAATTAACGATAAATTTATTCTTGAACAGGATACTAGCAAGCTTACCTTGTTCGAGAAAGCTGGACAATTCAAATTTACTTAAGCGAGGAAAGTCCACGCGCAAATTTGCCCAGAGCTTCTGAAGACTGAAAGATAGCTCAGATGAGTTTCCATCCACGAAACAACGATAAATTGCAACTTTATCCAAGAAAAAGTCCTTCGACTTTTTAACAATGTCGATGTGTTCTACTGCAGTTGCTGACATTGCAAATCTTTCAACTTTTACTCGTGGAAAATTCTGTTTCACGTAATCTCGACTCTTTTGGATCAATTGTTTACCGATTCCCTGGCGACGATAGCCGAGATGTACCCGAAGTCCTTGAACAATCACTGTGTTTCCTTCGTCGACAAAATGCATAACTTGTAGACCCACAGCCTTGCCATTTTTCTCTGCGATTAGAATTCTTCTATGCGGGTCTTTCAAATAGTTTAAAAACTCGACGTTGATGCAATCATAGCCCCATAAATTCCTTCTGACATCTCATAGATGGCTGGTAGGTCATTCTCGTTAGCCAAACGAAACAAAAGCTCTTCACCCATGTTGAAAATGTTTTAAACGTTTTGGTTGAAGTGTTGACCGGGCAGTCTATATATAGACATATCATATAAGAAAAACGGAGACCAGGAGTCATTACGAGTATGACACAGTTCTGAGTTACGAACTTGTGGTAGAACGACTTACCGTTATAAACTGATTATACAAACAAGTTGTGATTGATTTTATCAAAGTGTGATTTTATGTAAAGAGAATTCTTGTGTCAAGATTTTGTTTGTGTTCTGAATACACACATTATTTTGTTCTCTAAATACACATCTTCACGAAACCATGGCCTTTTATTCCAGAGAGCACACAGAGATTGAATATCTTCGTCCGCTACTTCGTGTGATATGGTTAAATTAATTATAGACCTCGCTCTTTAATTATACATTCAGTAAGTTTTCTTTCTTTTCTTTCATCGCCGCAGGCCATGATTTGCCCGGAAAGCAAAATAAAATTTTCTTTAATATATCGTTCAATTTTTAACCAAATTCTATCAAATTTTCATTTATTAGAGAGTAGTAAGCCCCACCTGGGTAATCAACTTCAGTTCTACCTTGTTCTAAATCTCATTGTGTTCGAAATGAACTATAAAGAATAGTGATTTTATTTGCTACGTTGTGAGGTTATTCAGTGGCGTGACCCGCCTGAAGATTTGTCATGCTGTATGCAAATTTCATGTTATTATTATTCATTTCTTTAGAAATAACAAAATATTAGCATAGCATGACAAAGGTTACTATGCGTGCATGTCTGAAAACCATCAAAAGCTTTTCCTATCAAAATCGAAGACATGGCTTCTTTTTCGAGAACAAGCTTATCTTAGGGGCTGTTTACATGAGCCCGGTTACCCGAGATTCAACGAAGCGTGAGAGGACTTTGAAGTATTGAAATAAGTCTTTATGACACCAAACAAGCACATGCTGTTGTTGTGATGAATATAAGACTGCCGTTATCTGCTCATTTCAATACCTCAAAATCATCTCACGCTTCGTTGAATCTCGGGTAACGGGGCTCGTGTAAACAGCCCCTTAGGGCCTGTTTACATGGAGCAAGTTATCCCGGCTAGGCGAGGTGAAAACTGCATATAATGAAAGACTAATCAGGTTAAGCCTTTCATATGATCTACCTCGCCTAACTCGCTCCATGTAAATAGGCCGTTACAGCGATTTACAAGCCACCGTTAATCCTGAAGTTTTTATCACGTTTGTTTACGTTTCAAACTTTTGGGTTTAACCGGAAACGTCGAGTGTTGAGCTATCAACCAATCCGGTACACTGTGATATTTCGACAGTTTTGACAGCATGGGTGGGACCGACCTGTCAATAAATTATGATTTGTGGCACTTCACTCGATGCAGGAATATTCTAAAGGTTTAAAGAGTCTTAATTTCGAGTGGTATTATACACACTTCAAATTCAAGCCAGGAACAGTTGATGGAAAAATGAGTCAACCATAGGTCCTTCGGCAGGAATCGAACCTACGCTTTTGCGATGCCGGTGCAATGCTCTTGCCACTGAGCTACAGAGGTAGCTGACACGCTTGCTCTTGTCAGCTACCTCTGTAGCTCAGTGGCAAGAGCATTGCACCGGCATCGCAAAGGCGTAGGTGCGATTCCGACCTGTCAATAGTTTAACATTCGATGTTTCCGGTTAAACCCGAAAGTTTGACATGTAAACAAACGTGATAAGAACTCGGTGGCTTGCAAATAGCTGTATAGATGAGCTGTATCATGGATCAAATTTTAGTGGAAAAGATTCCAATCGCAAAAATACCAGAAATTTCAGGGTTTTTTAAAAGATAATCGATAGCTTGTGTATTTGAATTGGAGGTTATAATGCCTATAATTATATCTTTATGTAAATAGTATATATACTGTAGGGTCAGGTATAATCAATAACTTAAATTATATACGCCAGAGTGGACATAGCTGCGACAGGTCTCTGGCAGAGATGTGAAAAAGAATTTTTTGATGGCAGGGTGTTTAATCCTTACGGCTTACGCTTCAACACATCGACGCTAGACTCTTACCAGCTCGTTTAGCACCAACGAACGTGAGAAGAAACGTCAGTACAATCAAAGAATTGTTGAAGTTGAGCATAGATCCCTCACCCCTGTCGTTTTTAGTGCCTAAGGGAGACTTCTCACTTCCTTTCGTTCCTAGTACCTCCATCGTTCTCAACTGGTTATGCCAAAATCGAGCTAGGGTTGTGTGTGTCTGTGGTAGTCGTTCTTGGAGAACTGTAAACATTCATTCAACTACAGATATCCCGTTGTCGGAATAGAACTCAAATATTACTTAATTTGGTTTGCTGTAGTTTATATTTAAGTTTATATACATGATTTGTTTACTTATTAAGACATTTCTCTTATTTATATTGTGCATGCATTATAATAAGTATATGATTTGATTTTGTTGATCTAAAAGCATGGGGGGATTTGAAACAAGTGTTTATACAAGTAATTTTATTATACAATACGTTTGATGTTTCTTGTCGAGCTCAATCTTGTCTAACATATCTAAGAAACTAGAGCACTCACTTGCAAAAACACCTAATGAGCTTATTGAGAGATGAATTAATTTTACGTCACAAAAATAATAATTACAATGATATAAAGAAAGCGTTCACAAAATATGGATCGCACGTGACGTGCCGAAATTGACCTGCTTAATTCTTAAACCTGGCGCACACTGGTCAACTTTCCACTAGGCGAGTTTATTCGCGCCACACGAAGCGATATATACGGTTCCAACTAAGGTTACGAGATCATTACTTTCTAGTAATGGACCGGAGTTTTTCCTTAAAACAGATAGATTCTAAACGAAAATGGGCAATCTGATATTGTAGGGTACACAATAGGTGCTGCCACTCGGAAGTAATAATGTGAATAAGAAAAATCAATTCGTTTCTTGAAACAATGCACCTGAGAACGTAACCGTGAAAAGTAGTGAGAATTGGCAAATGTAATGCATCGTAGTTGCTGTATCTATGGCTCTGATGTGCCATAACGGAATTTTTGCCAAATTTTTTTTTCTATTCCAGTTTATTTATGCGTATTAAATATACTACCTAATTACATTATTACTTTAAATCTACTCATTTTTGATACAATTTTACAAAGGAATTTTTTTAACTGTGCAATAAAGGTAAGATATTTACTATAACAGTTATACAAACATGCATTTTTCTTCGTGCTGTGTTTGTTTACAATATCAGTAATTTAGCCTATAGTTTTTTTACTAAATGTTTAATTACCTATAGGGAAAAATTAAAATCAATAACTACAGGCCACAGCTCACATAGGCATCTAAAATGTGAAAGAACTGCAGTTTTGTCTTGTTACAATTTTTTTTTCGGTCGAGAAACTTCGTGCTTCGTACTATGTAATGTTTTGAGAGGAACCCCTTGCTGTGATGAGTTATTCTTGCCCATTTATGTCAATGATTTTTCATAAAAGTACACGTCACAGTATTCGAATTTCTCCGAACTGTTTAACGACAAATCATTAAACAGAAGCTGAGATGTGCATTTTACCAGGGATATATCAACGAAGCACACAAAAAGGAATGTTTCGCCTGGGTTGATCTGCATCGCATTCCTCAACTGCGCGACAATGTGGGCTTTGAGCAACTCTTCGTCACGTGTGTAACACGTGGTGACCAACTGAGGACATTTCAGGAGAGAACACCACTGAGAATGACTCAACGATTGGACGGATCTGGATGACAGAGAGGTGAAAATGGAATCACTCGCCTTCGACAACCCATTCGAAATGTTAGACGGAAGAGCTTCTAATGGTTCCCAATTAACGATAAATTTATTCTTGAACAGGATACTAGCAAGCTTACCTTGTTCGAGAAAGCTGGACAATTCAAATTTACTTAAGCGAGGAAAGTCCACGCGCAAATTTGCCCAGAGCTTCTGAAGACTGAAAGATAGCTCAGATGAGTTTCCATTCACGAAACAACGATAAATTGCAACTTTATCCAAGAAAACGTCCTTCGACTTTTTAACAATGTCGATGTGTTCTACTGCAGTTGCTGACATTGCAAATCTTTCAACTTTTACTCGTGGAAAATTCTGTTTCACGTAATCTCGACTCTTTTGGATCAATTGTTTACCGATTCCCTGGCGACGATAGCCGAGATGTACCCGAAGTCCTTGAACAATCACTGTTTTTCCTTCGTCGACAAAATGCATAACTTGTAGACCCACAGCTTTGCCATTTTTCTCTGCGATCAGAATTCTTCTGTACGGGTCTTTCAAATAGTTTAAAAACTCGACGGTGATGCAATCATAGCCCCCATAAATTCCTTCTGACATCTCATAGATGGCTGGTAGGTCATTCTCGTTAGCCAAACGAAACAGAAGCTCTTCACCCATGTTGAAAATGTTTTAAACGTTTCCCCCGTGGACTAGAAATATTTGTAGGCGACAATTGTCACGTACGAATGAAATGTGTAATATGATGGGTTTCGCATAAGAACGAAATACAACGAATTACGAAATGTAAATTACGACGAATTATGACGAAATATGTTACAAGAAAAGCAGCCTTTATGAAACTTTAGCGGTTTTATTACGTGTAAAAATGAAAATTAAAACTAAAAATTAAGATCCGGCTGAAGGAGAACGAAAAGTCCATAAACATACGATTACTCCTTGTTTCGTTTTCATAACCATGTTTTTAACAATAATATTCGTGTTTTTCATTATTCATTTCTTTTCAAATTGGTTGTTTTTACGCTCTGTGAACATTAATATATGAATATGTCCACCCCACTTATCAATGCTGGCGACGCCACTGGTTAGGTCTCGCCGATGTTTACGACTATTAAGAGAAGGGTAAGACACTGAAATGGCTATTTTCAAAGATCTATAGAGGGATCAAATCCCAAAATTTCCACTCTTCGCGCCAACTAAAGTAATGCCTTGTGAGTCTAAACTCCTCAACTTCTTAATAAAAATTCTGTTTTGCGCCATTCTGTTTCGTCTGATTAATCGTCTACATAGTTCGTCTAGATAGTTTGTCTTGTTTTTTTACTCAGACGGATTATCTGCATGTCAGCCGGATTATTCGCCCAGAGGGATAATCCGTTTCTAGTCTAAATCGGGCTATTCATAGTCGCGTACGTTGGAACGAGATAGGAAAAATTGTGCCAAAATTCAGTTTCTGAAAGACTCAATTTCATTTTTATAAAGCAATCATGCTATCATATGTACTTTTGAGGGTGAATCTCCCTTTGACATTGCTGACCATCGCATGCATGATTACCCATATACTACTTATCATGCAGCAGCTATGACTATATGTAAGATATATATACGACTTACTTTAGTTCGGGCGCAACAGTTTTGGAAAAAGTATTGGCTCTTGTTTTTTATTCGAGCAGAATGAAAACACAACAACTCAGGTGGCCTTTTATATTTTCGTATAATGAAACTTTAATTGGGTTTGTGTAAACTGAAAATTCCAGCCGGATGCAGGCATAAACATACAGAGTCCCCCAGCACCCCCTCCCCTCCCCCCGGGCCGAATATAGCGAGCCACTAGCACGGCTAGGGTCTAGGGGTTTGTTCCGCATTCGCGCCTGCACGTCATGGTAAAAACGCGATGTTCATTGCATGACTGTGAAAGAGTCAATTCCTACAGAAATGACGATAGTTAAAATGACCTGAAATTGGCATTAGCGCAAGCGTCACAAACATACTGAAACTGTGAAAGAATCAATTCCTACAGAAATGAATAGTTAAAATGACCTGAAATTGGCATAGTTTATTTTGATATGGGGTTTATGTAACTGCTGTTTTAAATCACTTTCGACCGCAATGCGCGCTGTTTATGTAAATAGGTTCGCCATGTTACTGTAAATAGCTTAGTGATGCGGCAAACTGTCGTACTTGCAAAAACACGTATGAAACAACAATTTCCACTTACCCAAAGTTTGTCTTCCTTCCCCAACCGATCTTAGCGACCATTTCCAAAACTACGCCATCACGTTGAGGTGCATTGTTAAGCATAATCATACCCCGTTGATACAGATCGTAAAGCGAATCGAAAAGACAGCGGTGATCATTCATGATGTCATTGTAATCGTAAGACGGTATTGCGTTTTGCATCGTTTCTCGGTTCCACAACATCAGTTCATCTTTCACAAGATCATCCACATTCCCGCCTCTTTTTATCCTGCTTTCTGGCATTCTCATTCGTAAAAGAAATTCACTGGAATACTCGCTTTCATGCCCGTCTGGCCAAAGACACGAGAGCGTTTTCCCAGCGTCGGAAACTGTCGACTTCTTTAATGAAATGTCGACGCCAAATTCCACGATTGCATTGACGACGGTTTGATGCACAGAACACTGTGGACATTTGCAGCTGTCGCGCAGGAGGACATGAGGATATCGCGAGGTGACGCCATCGCTCCAAAATATTTCCAGACATCTTTTGTCTGCGGTTGTCTTCATATTCTTTATGGACGGTTTTGCCGAGTCGTCATTAAACTCTAGAATTAACAGAATGCAATTACATAACGTTAGTTACAAGCGTATCGAATATAGTTTAAAGGTATAGTTTTATACAACCAGCCCCTGGAAAGCAATATTTACAGCGATTCAAATAAAACGTCTCGGCAAAACAAAGTTAAAAAGCGTTTTACAACGTAGTTTTTTACCTCAATAATGAAATAATTTTAGGCCAATTTTTGACTTCTTTTGTACTTTAGATGCAGTATTAAAATGACTTATTTCTTCATCTGACACTTTGACAATAACAAATCGCTGTAATAATTAATCTAGTAATAATAGGTCGCACGGCTGATCGGAGGCCAGGATTTTGAATAATAATTATCATATTATTATGCAGTTCATATCACGTCACCGTACACGATAAAGCCCGCAGTTCAGCAGACTGAATTTTCCCCGTTTAATTTCCCCGGCCCCCTAATTCAGTCTGCGAGCAGGCTAGAAAATCGTGGTTTATTTGCAATATTCCGCCCTTTGTTGAGATTTAACTCCTCGAACTGGAGTTCATGCAATCTTTGAAGTGAAGCTGCCTTTGCTTCTAACGCTGCCTTTTTCGCAGCGTCTCTGGTTTTGGCACTCGCTGAACTTCTCGTCGAACTTGCCTTAGATTTTCTGGACCTTAAGGAACTGACGCAACTAATCGAATTCCTCGAGACGGATCTCAGCCGCAAAAAGTGTATTATCCTTCCGTTCCGTTGTTCGCTTAGCCACAGACGTACCTTACGTGGTGTACCTACAAGTTATTATAATTAATTAGACGTACCTTTGTTTGATGTTTTTCCGCTTCTTCTAACACAGTTGCGCAATAAAGAGTCGAGTTCGATTTCTCCTCTTGATTATCTAGCCTTTCGTGATAAGCTTTATGCGCGAGTTGAAATTCGTTCACAATTTCGTAAAGGTTGAAAATGACAGCCTGCAGCGAAGCTTGGATCTTCAATCTCGAAATTTCAATATTGAAATTTCTCGTTCATTGTATGGTCAGCGCGTGCGTTTATTTGTGAACAAAACACTCACAACAGTCTCTATATAACCATAAATAAATCATATAATATAGATAATACCTTGGCGTGAAGGATTGCTTGCTGTTCTTGATGTCGCAAAAGAACCGACAGACCTTAACAAACTAGTCCTATTTCTTCGCACTAAGAAGGCCTTTAATGTCTTGAGAAGCATTTCGGTCCGCCCAAGCGCAAGAGGCACAAACATAAACTGTAGCTAAAGCCTAAATGTGTACTTCGGTAATAGACTGATTGTCGCGAATTAGGTGATTAAAACGCATTCATCTATGTCCAACAGAATTGGTAGATATCAGCGCACATACAGTATAATTAGACAGTACAAAGACGTGAGATAATATTGCTATATGTAAATTGATACGTGGAATTTCAAAAGGGCAGTGAAGTTTATCAACGCCTTGGTGTTCTGTCTTTCTGTCTTGATATATAATGTTACAGATATATGATATAATTTGATAGTATTTCAAATCTACACTTATCAAATTTTGTCAGAATTGTTTATTGGAAGCCAAATTTTCAAGTCGAGTCAAAAAGAATGGGTTTAATCCATCTCTTCGTCTTCACAGTTCAAGGATATGTTTTTTAAGACAACCTTAAGCGCGTTAAGGCCATGTTACACGGCTCAATTTTTCTTGCAACTTGCAATGCAATAGAAGAATTGCATTGCAAGTTGCATTGCAAAATTGCACCGTGTAACAGGGCCTTCAGGCATCTCGATTGTGCATATTGCACAGACGTAAACATATTGTTTACATGAAGGGGAGATTCATCTATTATACGAATGTCTGAAGTACAATACTGATTAACACAATTAACACATTAACACAAAGGAATGAAAACCAGATGTTTCAATTTTATTTCATTCCAATTGTGTTTGGTGCGTGACCTTTGGGGTGAATACAGCAGTCAGAATTTTAACTCTTACTTTTTGAAACTCGTGTTCATCAGCACACCACTGCAGTAGCACCCCATCTTGCTTCGTGCATTGTTGGAAGTTCTTCCCAGGTGAAGGAATCAAATTTGAAACTTTCCGCAGAGTTCAGTTCATTCCCGCCATCGTCTTCACCTCCTATGACAAACACGGTGTCTTCAATCGTTGCTGCCGCACATCCTTTCCTCTTATACTTCATATTTGGTAACATGTGACTCTTCTGCGTCGTAACATTGTATATTAATACTCTGTCCATTGGTTCACCATCAGTGTCGACGCCTCCGAGTAAAATTACATTGTCATCGCCTCGTTTGACGGCGGCCATGTCACTCACAGGGTAAGGCAATGGTGCTAACTCTTGACATTCACACCTCTCAATATCATACAGCAAAACACTTTCAAACGTTTTTCTATAGTTCATGTCTTTTCTACCTCCCAGAATGACAATCTTATCACCAAACAGCGAGGCACAATGTGACCATCTTGGCTGGGGCATGGTAGCCAGCTCTCTCCTGGTATATGGTGGGACAAGAGAAACCTCTGTAATCTTGTTTGAATACGCACCGACGCTACAATCATACCCTCCAATTACTATTAACCGTCCATTATAGACGAAACTGGAGTGACCATATAACGACGAGGATAGTTCAGCAGGAACGATTTCCCAGGTTATTGACTGATCAACGTGAACAGCATTCGTTGATATTTTCTCAATTGCTTTCGATCCACTGCCTAAAAAACCACCAATGACGAAAATTTGATTGTTGTAAACAACCGAAGATGCTACCTGACGACATTCTTTCATCGGTTGAAGCAGCGTCCACGTTGCAGTTGAGGGATCGAACATCTCAACGGAATTCAAACATTCACTATTCTTGCCTCCAGCAACAACAATCTTCGCCTCTCTTTCAGTTCTACCAGCTTTTGCGAAACCTTTTTTTACGCCTTCTCGCCCAGCCAGAACTACGTGCAGTGTTTGCTCTGTCAAAAACTCCAACTGTTGCGACAACTGATTTAAAGTTTTCTTTATTTCTATATTGTCCGCTTTGAGTTCCTGGTTGCTTTCTTCCTGCTTATTGAGTTGTTTGTGAACAAGTTCAACTTTTGCGAGTACATTTTCCTCCACTGCTTTAATGTTTCTCTCACTTCTTTTCAGCTTTTCCCCGACTTCGTTCAACTTTACATTCATCGCAGCCAAATTATTTTTAACCACATCCATCCCACGACTTATACCACTGCAGTTGTGACATTTAATCCTACGTTTTTCACACGCACCCCCGTCGTGATGCATTAAGTCTTGCCTATTCACTTCCAGACCACAGCCTTTATTCGCACAGACCACTGGAGAAAACGCACATTCGGCAACATGCCTTTCAAGATCTCCTAACTCGACAAACATTTCACAACCGCGGTTGAAGAATTCGCAGCGAATCTTCAACTCTGAAAGTAGGTTTGTCAAGGTCCGCGATGCATGAGTTAAAGTATTGACTGTCAGTTGCTCCATACATACCGGACATGTTCGAGAGTTCGCAAGATGTCTGGTGATACAAGCTCGACAGAACAAGTGTTCATTACGTCGACACATGACTGGATGTTTCATGACATTGTAGCAAATACCACAATGAAATGTCTGGCTAACAGGATATTGAAATAGTTCATCTTCATAACCTGTTTCGTACGATTCCATTTCCTGTTTTCACCTGTTCAAAAAAGCAACAGGATTAGAAATTAGAATATACCTAGCCACTGATCTTAAGAATATTGGAAAATGCATCATTAAAATCTAATAAAATAAATAGAATAACTAGTGAGCTCACACCAATATGGCTGCTTCAAATCCAATAGATCTTTCTTATAATGACGTCAAACGCGAAAAGTCTGATGTTACAAGAAATTTGATTGGTTCCACAAAACTAACGGCCGGGCCAATTAAACTTCGTGTAACATCAGACTTTCCACGTTTGACGTCATGATGAAAACGGTCCATTCCACGCTCTACTTGCTAATTCAGATGCGATTCCTAACAATTCGGGTTGTGGAGAAATTGACAGGATTGAAAATATCAGCTTGATATTGATGTTCTGATTTCAAAGATAACTCATTCAATTCAAAAGCAAGCCTGTATACTTCGAAAAGCCAGTGCTCCGGAGTTGTTGTTTTTTGTCCAGCCAGTAAATATATCACGTTAAGCCCACAACAGTTCGCAAACCAATCTTATCACCGGATTTTAGATATCGCGTCTCGCAAATAGACTCGCCTAGCGGAAAACAGACTTTACGAAAAAACATTTCCGCATCTGAATCAAATCTCTCGACTAAATTGAACACTTTACATTCCCAAACGCCTGCATTCCTAATATGCGCCATTTCCAACACGCCGCATTTTAAGCATTCGCATTTCTACATCTCCGATGTGAGTCCACCGCACCGTCAATATGGATGAATGTGGACCAGGAATGTGAAGTCTTACGACAACATTAGACACACATTCATGCAAACAATACTACATTAATACTACATGAAGTAAAACATGTACCAAATATACGACGCCGACGTTATATAGAAACAGCGGTTGGTGACATGACACCAGCTTTAATTTATGCTGCCATACGGCTCTGACTTTGTTTACCAAATGGCGTGACTGGCGTCTATATCAAATACTTTACCGTGTTGTGAAATTGTAAGAATAGCAACATGTAGTATTTCTTACGTGTCGTAGATTTGGTGAATCTTAATAAGCTTGCTAGTGAGTGGTTAGAAGATATCTCAAACATACCTTGGCCTGCATGACTTAAATATTTGATATTTGTAAAGGAAAGATTATTTGCATCAACTAACACACACTTAAAGTTGATACTTTCGGTAAAATATACAGCAGGCAATTGTACATCAATCAATATCCTCTGCTTTAAAAAAGGCTAGAAGTTAAAAATTTGGTTGAAACTATAAACTTCAAGATCTCCAGGGATTTATCGATATTGAACTCAGTCAATGCATTTTAGTTGTATATTACTTGTATACAAATAGGCTACGTTTGTTCACGTACGCATGGCGCTATCGTTTAGCTTATAATATTTAAACTCATTCCCACCTTGGCTTTGGTTCCTTCTTCGAGTTTCAAATCACACTGGTTCATTTGAACGAGTAAAGAATTAAGAAGATATAGGTCTTCCAGAAGGCCAAATGAAATATTTCAGGTCAGTCTGTGTATAGTTCGTTTCATTTCAAGTTGAATATTCAATTACACGGAAATGACGACATTGACTCGTTGCATGTAAAAAAGGTTTTTACGGACAAAAATAGGCCATAGCAGCAGCTCGGCAGGGTCCTAACATATATCGTTTTATATGTCCGAGGTGATGCAAAACCCACTAAAAAAACCGTCCAATGAAAATTTCATTCGTCTGTCGGTATCGCATCACTGCACACTACAATCTTTGACATGATCAGGACATATTTTTCCTCTGGTAACTGATGAATGAACTCTTGCAGAATTGTAACACGCATCTCAGACCATAGGTTGCCAACAGTCTAAGCTTGGCAACCTTATCACGAATTGTCAACGATCAGGGACGTTCTCAGAAAGTTTTCCAGGGGGGTGAAGGATCCTTCATACCGACGGGTTAATGAACCTGTACCGACTAGATTACACAAAAAAACATTTGCTTAAGCTCCATGAGTCGCATGAACTGTCTGCTTAATGGCAAAAAAAAGACAGGCAATGTTTACACTTCTATCGTGACTTTTTTGTACCAATTAAATGATATAATCCTGGGCTGATCAGACCTATAGAATGATATAGCTATAGACTGATTGAGCTTCTAATATGGCTTCTGTCATTAAAATAGCGTGATGTAACTAGAAAAACATAATGCATGTAACACCTCTTGCCATTTCCAACCAAGCAAAAGTCTCCTGGGCTGATGAGACCTATATTGGTCATAAGTTTATATTTTGAAATGATTCAATAGGGCCATTTATACGAGGGGAAACAAGTCGTGACATGTAAAAGACGCCCGAAAGTGCCGATGGCCAATGTTACTTCCATTCGGTACAAAATGTAGTAAACATCAAAACAGTACAAAATCTTCATGTACGGAACGTCAAAAGTTTTTCGAATTTTTATGCAATCGACTCAAAAAGCTTCGATTTTGAAACGACATTTTCCCATTAAAATTTTAATCTACGAGTTCAAAAACCATCTCTATAGTTAAGGCGATTGTGTAATAGCCGATTATGTCTTTGAAAAACGACGTACCAAGCTCATAAACAAATAATTTGCATCCTTTAATACAGCAAACACCGATTGAAAAATAGATACAAACACGTACCTGCTCAGTAAAACATTTCAAAGATCATAGATTATAAATCGATTCCATTTCGCTGTTTAATCTTGAACTGTACCCCTTGTTGTTTTTGAAGTGTTTCCTAATCGGTTTTATTGGATCTGGTATATAATTTTTATCCATTTATTTGGTGTAATGGTGATAAAACAGTTTTATAGAAAGGTTGAAATACAAATTTTTGTCCCAACCATCAGTAGGCTGATGATTGGCAGTCTCCTCTCGTTTATATCTCGCGCAGAGATCTCAATACCTGGTTGTAATTCCCAATCTCCCAAAATCTAACAAAACGCTCTTTTATAAGTCCGTGCCCAGTTTTTGTTTAACATGTAATAAACAATTATTGGATGAGGTTTTTGTGATATGCAGAGTTATCAAGGTCGAGGTAAGCGTTATCAGCCTGGCCAAAGGCGAGTTCTATTGAAAAATAGTAAAGATAGTATTAACGAATGAAAAACCTTATTTAATAGCAACATCCAAACATACATCAATTATTAATACATAAATACATTCAAATGAATACCGCTTGTTAACCACCGCAGGCTCACTTGCAGATAACCCTGAATTTTGCGTGATTGCGCGATTTATCTAGATCAACTATTAGCTAATCAAATTGCTTTTACTACTATAATGAAAATAATTAATATTAATTTTGTATCCCAAAGGCAACATCCATTGCTGTCTTTGGGAGGTGACCTTTCATTGCCGGATTTTTTAAAAAAGGCGTGTAGAAATCGTTTCAGTGGAAAATTCATTCATGCAGGCCTATAAGTTAAACCATTTTGGTCGCGTCGAATGCAATTCCAACAATAGATAATAAGATGTTAATCTCATTATCTATTGTTTGAATTGCATTTGACGCGACCAAAATGCGACGTTTAACAAAGTCCTCAGACATTTACAAAGTGTCCTCTTATTTATCAACTATATTCATTATAACAACATTTCTACCAAACTGATAATACATATACATAATAACATATGAAAAAAGACGAAATTGCTATCTTTCGAGTATATACAGCTTTTACTTATTAAGTGCATTGTGCTTTTTTGTGACTTGTTTCCCTTTATCAACAAAGACATTTTTGGCAGTCCCGTTCAAACCAGCTTTTAAGGGGCAGATTATATGAGACCTGGGACGGGACGTTTTCTACGACGGCGGGGACATTAAATGTCTAATGTCCATGTGGAACGACTCCATGCATATAAACGCGGGATAAAAAAACGCCCCGTCCCGGCTCTCAAAGTCATATATAAGCGGCCCCTAAGCGGTCTTGTTTTCGTTCAGTTTCTTTTGGGAATCACTCGCGGGTATTGGAATGAGACCAGTGGGTGGTGGCCTACGACGGCTAGATAATGCCCACCAATATCTTGCCCTCGACCAACCGAGTGTGATGATACATGTAACGGTTGATAGAAAGTTAATTGCTGCTCCATAACGATCACCTTTATAAGCCGAATAAATCATTTCACCAGCGCCGATAGAAACAGTAATTACAGGATGACAATAAGTTGATACAACTATTGTCCCTACTGTCCACGAAGCATCTGTGACAAAAGTTCTAGACCAGATTTCTGAAATACAAATAATAAAAGCTATAATTTAATGTCTGTTATTCTTGTATTGTTTATGAACGGACTCTTGCTGATAACTTTACGACTGGAGTGCGTAAAGGCCTATGTATTTATCGACTGTACGATTATATATAGTTGTATGCAATTATCATTTTGACCAATGCAAAAGAGGACGGATGTCGCAATCTACCTCATTTTGTTCGAGGCGGAATTTAAAATGTCACCTTTGTACGTGTTTTTACACGTTCACATACGCCAGGGTAAGAATGGTATACGACATATCGCATAGTGTAAATGGGCTTTAAGTCACGTTCTCATCAAATATAGGCCAACTGAACTGTAGTCAGAGCTAGGTAAGTAATGTATCTAATGTATGTGGTATAACATCCTTGATTTCATTTCTACGAACGTAGCAGATTTTTATCGGATACCCGTCAACTTAGCGTCATTAGGGACCTTAAGCATGTAGAACGCGAACGCGACGACGACGGCTACCAATACAAAAAGTCATTGAAAAGAAATGAATATTTAAAGACCAATGAGCAATGATGGGTTTTAGACGTCGTCTTCGTTCTGTTTACAACGGGAAAACGTCGTTTTTTACGTCTTCCCTAGAACGGTTGCATTTCAGGCCCAGCGAGCCCTCCCTCGAATTAGGCTCTATAGAATTGTCCTTAAACATAAACACAATGTTTTTAACGCCTTATATCTCACTGAATTGGTACAATTAATAATATAAAACAACAACTTTGCCATAGCATTTATTTAAAGGAGAATTTCAGCCACGTCGTCGTCGTGTTGCCGTCCAACATGCTTAAGGTCCCTATTATCTACATATGCATGATCATAAGGTGGTAATATGGAAACTCTCGGCTTAATAAGAAAGAAAATGTCGTTGAAATGAAACAAAGAGACATTAGGCAAACATAAATGCTCTTGAATTAATCGCTTTAAAAAACTTTGACTGGCGTCAAATCTTGTGTAAGGGTAGCATCGACCAAAAAGTGAAAGGATTCATTATCAAATTGAACTCACTGATTGATAAATATCTTCCGGAAAGTACAATTCGTAGGCATAGCGAAGAACACGAACAGAGTGTTAAGTAACTTTTATTTCTATATGCGCGAGGTAGGAGATCTTTTACAAGCTTTTACTAAAGTTCAATAATGTTCTCTTCTTTCTCCGTTCTTCTCTTCTCTTCTCTTCTCTTCTGATTCTTCGTCCTTTCGGACCTCGTCGTTTTCTGTTCTCGTCTTGGCTGTCTGTTCTGTCAGGTTGAGCTTCTCCAACGTTTCATATACTTTTTTACTCCGCTAGTCCACTCCTTTAAGTCCACTCTCGTGTTTAGTCCACTCTCGTGTTTAGCCCACTCTCGTGTTTAGTCCACTCTCGTGTTTAGTCCACTCTCGTGTTTAGTTCACTCTCGTGTTTAGTCCACTCTCGTGTTTAGTCCACTCTCGTGTTTAGTCCACTCTCGTGTTTAGCCCACTCTCGTGTTTAGTCCACTCTCGTGTTTAGCCCACTCTCGTGTTTAGTCCACAGACACTGAGCTATATAATAATTCCTGGAGGACCGGCTCCTGTCAAAAAAGTGAAGCCACTAAGATGGCGGATTTTGAGCTTTGCTGACGCCACTTGGTTCCTTTTGCTCATGGTAGTTACCACTGACATACCGCGATACAAGGTGAAAAACTGTGTCCATCACCCTCCCGATTTTTACGAAAATATTTTCAGCTTTCCGTATATATTTTTTTGTTTTTCATATAAAATGGATAAAAGCGTTTCTCTTTTTCCCTGTTCAACAAATGGAAAGGACGCGTAGCTTCGTGCTCTGCGTCTGACGTTGTGAATGGCTTAATTCACTTATCGGTAGAGTGAATTTTCTCATTTTGCCCTTATTTTATAAAATCCAGGTAAGCCGTTTTTCAACTTTTTTTACTATAAACAATTTCGTTTTTGGCCTTCGAGTTTGGACTATAGTATAAACCGATTACCAAAGCCTCTGAGACAATAAATCCATCAAAACGTGTGGTACAAACAGCCTTTGGTACATTACAGTGCTGTCAATGCAATGTTATATACCCAAATTTTATCGTTTTTTCTTAACTTGTGTCGGGGGAAAGTTAAAATTCCTGGCAGTGTCAATCTTTTGAGTTTGGTCTATGTTGTTTTCATGATAGCAAACATCAATGTTAATAGGTAAACCATTCCCCCCAGTGAGTCTACTATAGTCACTCTTCTATAGATATCACCCAACATCAATTAACATGATCTGAGGGTGCTGATACAAAATAATAAGTTGCTGTAAACAGTGTAAAATTCCAACCTCTGATAGTGAGCCCTGTTAAAGCCTAGTTAATATATTATCTTGTTTACCTTGTCAAATCCAAAGTGAAATGATCAATTATCACAGCTCTTAATTTATGTTTTAGCTTCTTGCACCTTGTGAATAAATCTTGATCATATCTCCATTTTTATTTTTCAGGATGAAGTTCATGCATTTTATGACTGTGCATTGTTATTCTTCATTTCCATGTTATCTGATTTTGTTGTTGTCTGGTGTTTTTATACCATTTGTCATATTTATTAATTAATGAAATATATATAAACATGCATTGACTGAGCAGTGTGTCTTTAATCTGCAGCAACTTTTGTAATTTTCTGTTTATGGTATCAACCTCCAAAGGGGTTATATTCATTAGGCTAATCAGTGGAGCCTATGGAGGGATAAATGTTATTCTTTACTATAACCAAGGGTCCAGGGATGCAATTAGAGAATGCTGAAAACTTTTAAAGCCTGTTATTAAGGTTTATTAGGGTACAAGTTGATGACTTGAATGAAAAGTATATTATGCAAATATGATTCTTGGTTGAAACTATATTGCTGCACTAAGTATTAGTCAGCTGCCCAGCACTTTGCCTGAGCTTTGGCCTCTGTTTCTTTGGATTTTGTATTGTGCATAGATATAAAGTCTTGAAGACAACATCACATACTGAATACTGATTACATTAGAAAAGTCAAATTGTTGCCCATAAATTCCTAGTTGTCTTCAAAATATGCGAGGATAGTGCCAAAACATTCAAACATTTGTAAACTCTCATATTGGAATGTATAAATAACAAAAATATTATTACGAAAATGAAATAAGAAACCTGTCAGTTCGTGTCAGTATTAAAATCTTTAGTTTGTCCACATTTTTCCATATTTTAATATATTTGTTTCCGCGCTGGCTAAAAAATAGCGTGTATGACTTGTATTCATCTTAAAATAAAACTTTATTGTATGTCAGTGCGAAAAATATAAAAAAAACAACCGAAAAACATTTCAAAAACAAAAAAGATTTCACGGCAAAAAAAATATAAAAACCAGGGGGGAGAATTGTTATTTACAAAAACCAGGGGGGAGAATACTGCTGTAGCGGGCTCAGAATTGAGCCTGGTCAGTGGTAAATACCATGGTCAAAAGGAACCAAGTGGCGTCAGCAAAGCTTCTGCGGTTGCGCAGAAGGGCGAAATCCGCCATGTTGGTGGCTTCAAAAAGATGGCGGCGAAGTTACTGAAAAATGACGAGCCGGTCCTCCAGGAATTATTATATAGCTCAGTGTCCACAGACTGTTCTGTTGCTGTGCGCCTCCTTTTATAATAAAATTTGAGGGGATCTTGAAGACGCCCTGTGCAAGATAGTGTGATTTACACAATCCAATCAGCGTTGTAGGTTGTAAGTGTGGGTTGGCGTTAGAAGCTCGGTCCAGCTCTCATACTTTGTTTACTTAAGGCCGGTGACGCACTAGTCAAGTTGGTCTTTTTCTTAATCGATCACTGTTAAAACTTGTTCACAACTTAAAATATTTATCATCAACTTAAAGTACAATTATCAACTTATTACTCTGTGAACCGTATCTTAACTTATAAACTATTTTACAAATAATTTCATCGAATTAAGCTTTTAGTGACGTAAGGCTTCAAGTGCTTAACCGAGCAAAATATAACAAAGAAATGATTGACACAAACTATAGTATCCCTCTAGAACTTATGTTCTTGAGTCGTGACACTTGTACTTTGTACGACATACTATTGTTTCGGAGGAAATCCCATGGGCTGTCACCTTATGACAGGAAAAGTAATTTTGTGATTCCGAAGGGTCATAATAATATTTACTTTACACTTTATTTTATGTGACATGTTCCCCAAGTAATTTCCTCATCTATATTGAACTTCTATTTCTTAACAATGCTAAATTACATTATATATTCGCATTTCGTAACAAGAGTATAATCCCTGACAGACAGCGGTGCCAAAGGAACGACTGGCGTAGTTTATAATTGGCGTCTATTTGGTTCATTCTGCACTTGCTGTAGGAATGCATTTTACTTGTTTCATTACGAACTTGGAATGTCGTTTCGCTAGAACGTAACCGGCTTGACACCCAGGCGCTTTAAATAACCATAAATATAGGCAAACCACATGCAGGCTTTTACATAGATCAGTGGCCAAGCTGAGCAAGCGCGCATGGAAAAGCCTGTAGTGTTCCTATATTTATAGTTTTTTAAAGCACCTGGGTACGAGGTTGACCGGCTGTTAAATCTTTCAGATCTCATATTCAATTTCACTGCACTTTCACTGTTCGCAATCAATTAATCGCAAAAGAGACGCAAAAAATCCATCGTCTGCATGGCATCGATAAAATGAATTAATTCGGAAAATGATTGTCTTTCTCCTTTCTTACAAGATTCATTCAGACAAAGACCATCATTGATGATGATGCCACATTAATTACTCACACAATCTGACTGGCTGCATGGGCAACTCACTTTCACACGAAGCTCATATAACGAGCGGTGAAAGTATAAAACAGTGATAAAAATTTAAAAAACGTTTGCCCATTTAATTATTATAAAATTAATCGGATCGGATCTTCCTTTGATCCTCGTCCCAAACAGTTTCTGATTTTCCCCCGACTTTCAGGTATCATATTCAATTTCACTGCATTTTCACTCTGTTCGGAACCAACCGCGAAAGAGACGCAAGAAATCCAATATAGATTCGGAAAATGATTGTCTTTCTCTTTTCTTACAAGATTCATTCCGACATGAATTACTCACACTCCTCACCACCTCATTAATTACTCACACAATCTGATTGGCTGAGCTATTCACTTTATATCAAGCTCATAATATTGCGAGCGGTGAAGGCAGCAGGTAAAACAATGATAAGAATTTAAAAAGTTAGCACATTAAATTTTTTTATAATATAACATTTATAGTACGCGCGTGCTGATTTGTCGAGAAGCGTGTTTCTATAACTGTAGAGAAACACGGGACATTTCCCGCCGAACTTGACCAGCGAAGTATAAAAGTAATGAGAATTTGTAATTGAATCGAATTTTAATATTTGTACAAAATCTTTTTATTGAGTTATATAATAAAAGAAATAGAAAACATTTTTCCTGTGTTTCTATTCAGTTATAGAAACGACACTTGTGGGAGTTCGGGAGAACTCGAAATAACGTGGAAAAACTCGCCGTATATACTGGCTCGTCTTCCCAGTGTTCATTTTTCGTTCACCCAAACTCCCACACGTGTTTCGATAACTGTGTAGAAACACGGAAAATGTTTTCTATTTCTTATAATGTTCTCGCTACAATTATATTATTCGCTATGGGTGATATAACCATGTCGGTTTTGGCTCGTTCCGGTAGGCTTATTGGCTAAATATTGCTTTTATATATTGCTTCTAGCTTTCAACGTTTACCATATGACATCTGAAGCCGTTATTTCAATACCACCATGCAGACATCGGAATGAATATAACTGGAGTGTTACCTTCTAATATGAAAATGTTAATATTTGTACCTCCTGAACTGCATTATTTGAATTTTAGTTTATTACCTTTCATTCTTTCTGCTGGTTCTGGACTGTGTATTGTATTCGCTCTGACTTCTAGATTCAACTAAAAGAAGCAAAAACTAACTGTTTGACGGAGTGCACAGCAAATATTTATCTGTCTGGGCTTAGTTTCAGTTTGTGTTGCATACACTCTGGCATAAATATAAAAATCCCGGAAATTAAGGTATTGTGAAAATGAAACCTTATTGGTCAAAATTTTCCGCACCCCGAAATGATTGTGAAGTGTTTACCGTTTACACTTATCCAAAGTTTCTGCGGTCAAAATATATCTTCATCACATTAACTAAAAATGTAAACATCTTTTGAGGACGTTGGTCGCTTTGGCGTTAACGTTCTTTGAGCGAAGACTTTGGTTACTAAAGGCGGATTTCCACTTACAGCGAAATCGTTCGCTAGCGAAATATTTGCATATTTTCTTTTGAATTGAGAACAGCCAAGTCGAACTAATTTATTTATGCTGTTAAAATTCAAAAGAATATATTTCGCTGGTGAACGATTTCGCTGTAAGTGAAAATCCGCCTTAAAACTTTGGCCTGACGTCTTCGAAACTTTGCCAGTGTAAGTTATGCAGGCTTAACAGCAGGAGTGTTTTCTCACATACCCCATGTGAGGTGCAGTTGAACGTTTTAAATAGTTCAAACACGCAGCCTTATATATTTATTTCTTATATATTTTCTCAAGAATATTTTGTGCTCTTGTTATCAAAAATCACATTTATCTTGAGTCTAAACAAGGAATAAGGATGAATTTGTGCTGTTTTCCAGTACTTTCGCTTTGCTTGCGTGGGCAAAGCTTTCTTTCAAGAATCAGCTCATGCGCCCGTGACGGGCTTCAGAAGTAAACCGCGTTTCGCCAGCTAAAGTTAAGGAAAAAGAACTTACATAGAAAGCTACCGGAAGCAAGAATACAGTTATACCCGAATTGAATTTTTCTTCAATCCTCGTCTCATACAGTTTGTGATTTCCCCCCGACTTTTGAATATTATATTCCATTTCACTGCACTTTCACTTTCACTGTTCGCAATCAATCACAAAAGAGACGTCACGTAATATACGACGAGCGGTGAAAACAGCAAGTAAAACAATGATAAAAATTAAATAAAAGTTTGCACATTTTATTTATTTCATTCGCTACAATTATACTATTCACTATCGTGGTTTTGGGTGATATAACCAAGTCGGTTTCGCCTCGTTACCGTTGGCTTGTCGGTTAAATATTGCTTTTATACATTGCTTTATCGTTTACCATATGATATCTAAAGCCATTCTATCGTTTACCTTATGATATCTAAAGTAATCCTTTCAATACAAACAGACATCGGAAGAATATAACTTGAATGCTACCTTCTAATTCGAGCATGTTAATATTTGTACTTCCTGAACTGTAATATTTGAAATTCAGTTTATTACCTTCGATTCTTATCGCTGTTTCTATGGACTGTGTATTGTATTCGCTCTGACTTCTTGGTTTGATCAAAGAAGCAAAAACTGGTTGTTTGGCGGAGTGGAGACCAAATATTTTAACGTAATTAGGTCACTGTCAACCGTCTGTGTTCAGTTTCAGGTTACGTTATACCCTAAGTCATAAATCCCGTAGTCCTAAATATACAATTTCCCGGAAATGATGACATTGTTAAAATTAAACCTGATTGGTTCATACAAAACTCGGATGTCCTTGAATGTCCTTGAATTCAAAATAGATAATTGATGGCTTAAATTTATAGCTTGAAAGTCCTTGATTTGTAAATTTTCTTGATCAAACCTTTGTAAACATGACAGTTTACGCAGGAATTTCCTTTTTCTGAAGTAGAAAAAAATCCCTTCTTAATGTGTATTTCTTGCGTCACTTTTGCAGTTTTGATTTTTATACAACTCGATCGCGAGGTCTTACTAGTCCTTGAATTTCCTAAGATATGTCCTTTAAAGTCCTTAAAAAGTTCCTGAATTTTACCGCTTTTCAATTGCACAAACACTGTTGAAGATTTGCCTAGCCCGAAACGATTGTGTAGTGTGGCCCAGTTTTTACTTATCCGAAATTTCTGCGGTCCAAGTATACCTGCGAAAACCAATTGTTTGACGTAGTGGAGACCAAATATTCGGACGTAATACAGTAACATTCAACTGTCTGGGCTTAGTTTCAATTTGTGTTGCTACACCCTAAAAACTAAATATAGAAATCCCGGAAATTAAGGTATTGTGAAAATTAAACCTAATTGGTTAAAGATTTCCGCACCCCGAAACGATTGTGTAGTGTTTACCGTTTACACTTATCCCAAGTTTCTGTGGTCAAAATATATCTTCATCACATTAACTAAAAATTAAACATCTTTTGAGGACGTCAGTCGCTTTGGCGTTAACGTTCTTTGAGCGAAGACTTTGGTTACTAAAACTGTGGCCTAACGTCTTCGAAACCTTGGCAGTGTCAATTATTCAGGCTTAACAGCAGGAGTGTTTTCTCATGCCCCATGTGAGGTGCTTGCTTAAATAGTTCAAACACGCAGACTTTCTCAAGAATACTTTGTGCTCTTTTTATCAAAAATCACATTTATCCTGAGTCTAAACAAGAAATAAGGATGAATTTGTGCTGTTTTCCAGTACTTTCCCTTTGCCGGCGTGGGCAAAGCTTTCTTTCAGAATCGGCTCATGCGTCCATGACGGACTTCAGAAGTAAACTGCGTTTCGCCAGCTAAAGGAAAAACAACTTAATAGAAAGGTACCGGAAACAAGAATATAGTTTTACCCGAATCAAATTTTCCTTCAATCCTCGTCTCATACAGTTTGTGATTTTTCCCCGAATTTTAAATATTATATTCCATTTCACTGCACTTTCACTTTCACTCTTCGCAATCAATCACAAAAGAGACGCCACATAATATAAGACGAGCGGTGAAAACAACAAGTAAAACAATGATAAAAATTTAATAAAAGTTTGCACATTTTATTTATTTTACTCGCTACAATTATACTATTCGCTATCGTGGTTTTGGGTGATATAACCAAGTCGGTTTCGCATGCATGGTTACCGTTAGCTTGTCGGTTAAATATTGCTTTTATACATTGCTTTATCGTTTACCATATGATATCTAAAGCCATTCTATCGTTTACCATATGATATCTAAAGCAATTCTTTCAATACAAACAGACATCGGAAGAATATAACTTGAATGCTACCTTCTAATACGAGCATGTTGATATTTGTACTTCCTGAACTGTATCATTTTTATATTAATTCAGTTTATTACCTTCGAATCTTTTTGCTGTTTCTATAGACTGTGTATTGTATTCGCTCTGACTTCTTGGTTTGATCAAAGAAGCAAAAACTGGTTGTTTGGCGGAGTGGAGACCAAATATTTTAACGTAATTAGGTCACTGTCAACCGTCTGTGTTCAGTTTCAGGTTACGTTACACCCTAAGTCATAAATCCCGTAGTCCTAAATATACAATTTCCCGGAAATGATGACATTGTTAAAATTAAACCTGATTGGTTCATACAAAACTCGGATGTCCTTGAATGTCCTTGAATTCAAAATAGATAATTGATGGCTTAAATTTATAGCTTGAAAGTCCTTGATTTGTAAATTTTCTTGATCAAACCTTTGTAAACATGACAGTTTACGCAGGAATTTCCTTTTTCTGAAGTAGAAAAAAATCCCTTCTTAATGTGTATTTCTTGCGTTACTTTTGCAGTTTTGATTTTTACACAACTCGATCGCGAGGTCTTACTAGTCCTTGAATTTCCTAAGATATGTCCTTGAAAGTCCTTAAAAAGTTCCTGAATTTTACCGCTTTTGAATTGCACAAACACTGTTGAAGATTTGCCTACACCGAAACGATTGTGTAGTGTTTAAGGCCCAGTTTTTACTTATCCGAAATTTCTGCAGTCCAAGTATACCTTCGTCACAGTATTTAAAGATGTGAACATCTTGAAGACGCCGGTTGCTTTGAAGTTCTGTGACTGAAGATTTTAAACACCGACTTCGGTCACCGAATTATTGGCAGTGTAAATCACCAGGAGCCGGTTGTATCAAGCCCGCTTAAACGGGGGATAAGTCAAAATTAAATAACACTTTTACATCTCTCTTGAAGGAGTAAACTTGAATATTTTGCACTGAATATGCTGTTGTAAACACTATCTTTGTATTATTAAGGTTAAGAACGTTTAGTTTGCTTCTAGAATAAAACGACAGATTTGCTTTCTATTTTGAATTTAACTACCGTTTAAGCTAAACGGGCTTGATACAACCGGCCCATGTTGATATGAAATGGCGGGAAAGGACTGGGACTAGTTGTCAAATAAAAGTCTTTTGTTTTTGTTTTTGTTTTCAACTGGAAACAATTTTATAGTATTTCTTGAAATACACTTGATTTCGGTTTTAAATTTATGTCAGTGTTTCGATTCTTCGAGCAAAATTTCGACTAGTTTTATAAAAAATACAAAAGATGTGATCGATTAAATATTGCAGAATCGGTTTCCATTCCGACAATCTTTATTTTTTGTCACATACCGGTCATACCCCATTCAAACACACAGCCTTATTATTATTTCATAATTAATATTTCGTTTAAAATTATTTAAAAAACGAGAAAAAAAACTTCAGCCTTTTACTACAAGATTTCGTGGAGTAGGAAACACTCTAAAGTGAGTTTTGAAATACTTGAACGAAACAAAAAAAAATGTGCGAAAATATAAGGATTGAAGGTAATGTCCCGTGCTATAATATAAACAAACGTTTTATTTACACGTTGATTTTTTATATTTCTCTACTGGAAATATAGCCAATATGTCGATATTTATGCAATAATAGTTCGCTTTGGTTTTAAATGAATTTTATCTGAGTCTATGTCCAGATGCCTGTATTGTTACTAACAAAACCAAGGCGCCAACCCGACAGGACATTGCTTTTAAATTCTTGTAAAAGCAATCAATATAGTTTTGCTACAGCGGGTTTTAATTTGTGACGTCCGAAATTAGGTTCTAATCATTAAAGATACAAAGTAATCGCACCGTAACCATTAGCTTCACGAAGGCCACATATAAATAACTTATGGAAACGCTGGGTTTTGTTCAAAGGGCTGCACACCTGTGTTACTAATTTTGGCGTTAACACGAATGGTCGAAATTAGTTTTAAAGACACGATTTAATTATTCCCATTGCATTTAACCGTTATTCAGAGTTTGAATGCCTAAGCACTCTGTTGGGACCCATAAGTGTATAAATGTTTGCCATAAGCATTTTTATGCATGATGCAGTAAAATTTCCTTTGTCGACCTTCGTCGAAAAGCGTTTCACACTTCCGTTGTACTTTGGGTACGCGTATGATTTATCACAATAAACACTCGTTGATCCGCGGTCAGCTGTACCATTTTCTTTCGAAGCAATAACAAGGCTAATTTAAATTTAATCATATTCACAATTTCAGCATTTTTTCGTATTTAGCAATTTATAAGTTGCATTATATCCTCACGGGCTAAAATTCGTGAACACGTCATTCAAATTTTAACAATGAGTGATTTCAATAGTTTCCGTTTTTTTGAGACACCCTGAAGTGGTAATAGGAAGAACTCGAAATAAAATACCTATAGGAATATAACCGTTTAACACAAGTTCTCGTGGTCTAGTGGCAAAGAGAATGTTTGCCAATTGGGTAAGTCGATGGTTCGAATCCAAGTGTACCTGTTTTTCATTATGTCCTTCGCGAAAAGGATAAAGTAAATTAAACAACCATGGTCTTTCAGCACCGGATCTCGTAGTCAAGTGGCGAAGACAATGGCCTCCCAAGTGGTAAATCGGTAGTTCGAATCCAAGTATATCTGTTTTATACTATGTCCTTCGCGAAAGGGATGAAATAAATTAAATAACCATAGCCGTTCAGTACAAGATCTTGTAGTCTACGGTGGCGAAGACTGTGGTCTTCCAAGTGGAAAGTCGGTGCGAATCCGAGTGTACCTGTTTTTCATTATATCCTTCAAAGAAAGGCCGTTCAGCACAAGATCTTCTAGTCTAGGTCTCCCAAGTGGTAAATCGTTGGTTCGAATCCTACCATAACCGTTTTTTATTGTGAACTTCGTGAAAAGGATTGATAAAGTAAATTAAATAACCATAGCCGTTCAGCACACGATCTCCCAGTCTAGTGGTGAAGACAATTGAGTCCCAAGTGGTAAGTCAGTGGTTCGAACTCGAGTGCTCCTGTTTTTCATTATATCCTTCGAAGAGAGGATAAAACAAATTAAATAATAATAACCGTTCAGCACAAAATCCAGTGGTCTAGTGGCGAAGGCAATGGTTTCCGAAGTGGTATGTCGATGGTTTGAATCCAAGTACCGCTATTTTTCATTATGTCCTTGGCGAAAAGGATAAAGTAAATTAAATAACTATGGCCGTTCAACACAAAATGTAGTGGTCTGGTGGAGAAAACAATGATCTCCCAGGTAGTAAATCGATGGCTCGAATCCTACCATAACCGTTTTTCATTATGAACTTTGTGAAAAGGATCAAGTAAATTAAATAACAAGAACCGTCGAGCACAAGATCTTGTAGTGTTGTAGTCAAGACGATAGTACTCATGTGTCAACAGTCAAGGGTTCGAATCTCGTTTTAGATGAAAATTTTCGTTATTAATCAAATATGGTAAGGTTATGGTGAATAAGT